TCGTTCTTGCCTGATTTTATGGTTCGGACGCTGTTGTAGTTGGTGTCATTCTGAGAGGCTACAGGACCGCCAATTATTCACGTGACTGACTCACGTTGAGTCAATGCTAAAGTCCGTTGCGATATGTCCTGATTACTTGCAGGGCACTAGGTTGTTTGAGCGATAGGCACTTTTAGCTGCTCCATGAATGGGTGAATATTTCTCTTTCCACTCACTCATTAACTGCTGCATAAACAGGAATGATGTTGGGTATACCATTACATGGTGTTAATTAAGCTTGTAAAGTGGTTTTTGAGCAATAAAAATAGGCTTTTCAGGCTTGTCATCCTTGCGAACACCCTGGAATCGAACCAGCGTCTTCCTGATTGCCACGGTGTCGCTACTTTTGTTTTCCAAAATGTCAATGCAATAGGAAAATCGCAGGCACGTTCAATGAACTCATGTTTTCTCTAATTGCGGTTTATCTGGTGCGTGACATTTTCGTTAATAATTTTGAACTTCCTGTGGCATGGCTCCTTCCTCTAATTCCTGTATGCTGTTTGCGTAGTGGCTTCCTTGCTCACTTTATTTGCTCATTTTATTTGCTCATCTATGTTTCCTCAAACAAAATGTGACAACACTCACAATCCCGACTCCTTTGTGCCATGCGATTACCTTAGTTTACATTGTTACAGTTAATGGTGGCTTTCGCTGCATGTTCTCATTGACAGAATGAACTTGTATTTCTTCATTCCAGTATTTTCCAAATAAAACAGTTCTATGCACTAAATTATTTTATTACTCTCACCAATCATCACGGAAATACTTTTCGCGTAAAATTTTCAACCATGTTTTTTTTCCTTTCCTGTTCTCTACTTGGATATCTTTTTTTTTCATTTGTGTGCATATTTCGTAGTTTGCATCTGATCATTCTGTGCAAAGAGTCCCGGTACGCTCTCTTAGCCTTGGAACCCTCCTCTGTACATCCTTCACGCTGTACCACGCTCTGCAAAATAAACAAATAAATGAAGCTTTGATTTGATTCGATCGTGGGTCATTATTAATGCATTTATTTTTTCTAGTCATTTACAGTCATTTGTTATATGTAAGTCATAGTTATCATGTTGCGTTGTCTGTCATGCTCTATTATGTTGCGTTGTCTGTCATGCTCTCCGCTTGCTATTATTAATCTGTACGATGTATATAATACACGTTCACTAGTAACATCATTGGAACATTATTATTTGTATTTTAAATGCTCTTTATGAACGCATTACCTAAATCAGGTGTGACTGAGAAAACGTCGCTTGACGTGTTTTTTTTATTTATTGATATTCATGGCGTTACTGTGTGATATTAGTTAGGCATGCGATTCGATACCATGAATGTTTCTTCCAAGAGCTGAAGAGTAGCTGGTGGCTGATCAGAACGCTATTTTCTCGCATCGTGTCAATAAAGAAGAAAGCAGACAGATATGTGGGGTTTGACTTCCCAAAACCACCATATTATTATGACAAACGCCGTAGTGGAGGGCTCCGGAAGGTACGACCACCTGGGGTTCTCTAACGTGCACCCAAAACTCGGCACACGGGCCTACAACTTTTCCGCCTCCATCAGAAATGCAGCCGCCGCAGCCGGGATTCGATCCCGCGACCTGAGGGTCAGCAGCCGAGTATCTTAGCCACTGGACCACCGCGGCGGGGCAATAAAAAAGAAAGCAGCCGTAAACGCCAGATATTCTTGCAAAGTTGCTTGGTACCTCGGACTAAATAAGTACCCCTTCACTCACAGCCTAACGAGGATACAAATGTACAAAATCGCCTGATAAGCTAACGTGCCTAGTAGGAAATATGCGCGCCACCTCATGAGCTCTCAGCTTCGGTTAAAAAAATAGCTACAGCACACTGCCACGAGACTCCTTGCATAAACTGCGTTCATTCCTTTCAAAAATTACTCACCACACATGCGTACTCACACTAAAATTGGGGATAGCACTTAGATGTTTTTAGCGTATTGCATTTAGGTGCTTTGGCTTCCCCATTAGCCGTCCTCTCTTTTTAACGCTATCATATTCCCCGAAATCTGCTTAATCAAAATGTCACCCTAGCAGAGACGTCAGCAGAGTTGCCTGATACAGTTCTTTATCTGCGTTTCTAATGTTCCCTTAAAGGAGAAAATATGTGTGAGCTTCATATATTCCTCGGACCTTGATGATGCACGTCTCCCGACAACTATGGCACAACATTTTTTCTGTGCTTCTGTAACTTGGAAAGGGTGGAGATCGCAAATTTGAATAACGGGTTGTTCCCTAAAGCCAACGGCACCTTCAATTACGAAAAAAAAAAAGAAGCCAATGGTGTCAAAGCACTGCTGGGACTGCCCCTGAGAGTATGCGGCTTCTGAAAACAGAAGGGGCGGAGGGTTTATTATACCGAAGTTAACACCATGAACAGTGACAGGAAGAAGTGTGTAGCTCCACCAAGAAACATGAACGGCAAACAAAATGCATTCTTGTCGTGCTACGAACGTCTTTTATTACACCGTCTTCACCGCCCGCAGCTTGCGAAATGAGCTACATGATAAAACTGCGTAGTAAGTAACACGGGATGTACGCCGGCAGCTGCCACCTGCGCGACACTCAAGGGTTTCTGCCTGGTTGAACGCCATCGCACACGTTTACGAGTATCTTCAGAAGAGACAGCTAAAAGAGAGAACAAGCAAGAGAACAGAAGCTGTTTTCAGGAAAACGAAGCTTGGTTTCCGAGCAAGCGAAGTGGTAAAGACGCGTCGTCGTTCATCTTTGCACGAAGACTGTAAATGTCTTGCCTACCAAACCTCACCTGGCTTCAGAGGACGGGGATCGAGTCTGATAGGCCACACACTGCGTAGCAGGTGATAACCCTTTATGAGGATTCAAAAGGTCTGTCCCGAAACTCTATTGGCTGTGTAACGTCAAGTGCTTTCGTTGGACAGCAATTATTTCGGGGCATTTACGCGCCAAAACCACGACCTCAGTATGAGGCACGCCCCGTGGTTCTTTTACTTGCACTGACGTCACCCGGTAAACACGCATTTCCCCCTCCGTCGAACATTGAACCTGTGTTCATCGCATATGCATGCAGCCTAGCACCGAAGCAACTGAGCCACCACCGCGGCGGCCGAGTTGAACAATGAAGTACGGCGTCTGAACTAGAACAGTGCTCAGTCAGAGATTCCACACAAAAATAGACACTTGCCCATCCTCGCTCTGTTAGTGCACAAAGCAAGAAAAAGAAATCCTGAAAAGTATGGGGCGGTCTTCGCTTATTATTAGTCGCAAATCACTTCCGCGCAGTTCCTTAACGTAACCATAGGGTTGAAAAGAAAATATGACAATCACTTGTTTCAATAGCAAACATACAAGGAAGTCCGTGCAAATTTTTAGAAATAACGCGATACAAAGTGCCCATGTGCCACCTCCGGGCGACAACTGAGGTATATTTCTTCGCAGAATTTGCGTCATTAATTTTTCCTCACTAGTTACAGCGCCTTGGCCGAAATACTCGCTATATGCTTTCTCTGCAACCTGCTCTGACAACCTCGAGCGCTGCATTTTGGTGGCACGGTATTTTTCTCCCCTCCTTTTTTGTCGTCGAAGAATGACCTAGGACTAAAGGTATTTTCCCCTTTTTTTTTGCTATGATTAATGTTGGAGTTATAAAAACACAGAATTCCTAAAGGCCACCCATACGCAATAAGAGACACGGAAAAGGGCAAAAGACAATCAACCTCATACGATAAACAATCGTGTCGTCAGCGTGCACTGATTCCCGCAATCACCTTCGACCCGTGGCGAGCGAGCCCAACGTCAGCTACGGATGTCCCACGTGATGCGCCGTAAAACTCCCTAGTGCCCGCAGACACCAAGAGTGCTTGACAAATGAGCCGTTTTACATCTGATGTTGAACTGAAAGACGGCTCGCGTAGCCATCCTGTGGCTTCTCATACGGTATAGCAACGCATTTAGTTTCGGGAACAATTACGATATCTTCAAACAAAACAAAACAAAACAAAAAATCGGGGGCAAAGTCCGAAGAAAACGGAGGAACAGTGCTCGGCTCATTCTGAGCCATCAGTTATCATTAAAGGAGTGGCTAACCAGTCTTCGAAGCAACGGAGGAGATGCAGAGGGCAGAAACAATGCGCACTCTGAAAACGTTGCGTTTCGAGGGAAACGTAATTACCTTCGAGGTGGCCCTGGAAGTCATAAATCACAATGAGCGTGCATAATTAACGCCGCTGTAAAGCCCAGTTCGCTAGACACGAGCCCAGAAAAAAAGGGGGGGTACAGTTGGCACCCTAAAGCTGGCTCCTCTGCAGCAGCAGTCGTGATGCGAGAAAGCTAGCTTTCAAGGAGTGTCGTCATCCCCTGTTCACTGCCGATTCGCTCATTTTTCTCAGTTTCATGCGATTAGTCAAGTTCAGCGCGTACATGACTACCAAATGCATGTAACACTAATTTAAACTATCCAAACATAGAGAGCTGTGAAGGAAACTAGCACCATTGAGGTATCATGTCGACTGTGAAACAAAGCAAACACGCAGAACATAATAAGCGACCATGGATGCTACATACAAATCCACCAAAGTTGAACCTAGCAACGAGGCGTGAAGCTTTATTATTGCTCTTTTCCTGCAGAGTTAGCCTAAGCGCAAGTGTACATATCAGCTGAAATTCAGCAGTCGTTCTGATGGATGGCTTCCAGATTCCCAAGTCCGCCATCCGCGTAGCTGACCAGAAGGAACGTCACAGGCGCGAAAGCGGGTGTGACCACGCTTTACACACAAGAACTCTGTCGGAGCCTGAAAACTCTGAAATGTTCATCGCAGCACTTCGTTCAGGAAAATGCTGCGCTTGTTCACAGAAAGGCGAGCTCTTAATTATACAAGCTGAGAACACACGTCAAAATTTTAATTTTTCTTGTTTTGAGACAACATGTGTGACTGCTCTTTTTTGGGTGAATAGAAAGAAGGACATTTACCTTTGGGTGTGCTCTCTTTGGGAAGGCTATTTTTGGGTCAATCTGAAAAAGACAAAACAATTCGCCAGTGATTTACACACAATGAACAAAAAGATATAAAAAAATCAATGCCATTTGTTGCGCAATGTGCCGTGCAACGCGAGGTAAGATTTTCTCAAGTGCAAGCGAACTTCATTTTCCTCAATTCATCAGGTGAGCTCACGAGTGGTTAACGAGTGCAGCTACATTTAATGGTGACTATTGTTTACCACTAATAAACGTAGGTTTAAAAATATGGGTTATTTCGGTAAACCACACGGAAGGTAGCGTAGTGAGTATATATACTTGGGAATAACATAACTAGATAGCGTTAGTAATTTTCGCCGCATATCCACGAAGTGAATGATGATGAGTGGGGCAAAGTGTCCATCCGTTCATCCGGGTGTACAACCGTCCGTGCATCCGTCCGTTAGCCCGGCTGTCCGTTCATCCCTTCGCGCTTCCATCCGAGCGTCCATGCTTCAGTCTGTCTGTCTGTCCGTGTGTGCTTCCGTCTGTCCATATGCCTCCGTCAGTCTGAGCACTGCCTCGGCGGGTTAGGCTTGGTGCGGCTATGCAAGCAGCATATGTCTCTAATACCGGCAAGACGTACCCGATGCTTTATCCTCAGAGAAGGCTCAAACAAATGGATGGCTGATTTCACCACCCATCTGTTGCTGTCAGCGCAGTGGGCATGCAGCAAGTTCGGATCGAAGCGGCCACTCGTTTCTGAATGGGTGTTGCCACGTTGATTCGTAACCACAGTTACCGGCGTTAACTCAACGAAATAAATAAATACGTACGAAATAGGTACGCAGAATAAACATATCACGTATCGATGTCACGTAACACGCACTAAACAAACACCAATTTTACCCAACCCTGTCAAGTTTAACGCCTTTGTATCGGGCTTCACAAGCTGTTGCGTAAGTGTGTGGCCTTGTTACATCCCATCGCTGTGATAGTTCTGAACCACAGTGGTGAAACAGAGTACAGAACAATCGGGATGCACCTCGACTCGTGAGGGAATCATGATCGCCAGCAAGCAACGCACACTTCGGATGAGAACTCAATACATCATTTACATGGGGTCGAAATACTAGAGGCCCGTGTACCTGAATTTAGGTCCACGTTAAGAAAGACCAAATGAAGAAAGCTCATGGAGCCTTCCGCCATGGCGCACCTAACAATTATATCGTAGTTTTGGAGCGTAATGCCGCAACACTTAATTATTATGAGGTATTCTTAACAGAAATTAAACTAGTTGGGGTTCCAGCGCTAAAGCAGCATTGATTACTTGGACCATACGGGCTCGAGGTTACATCTTTGAATCACCCGATAGCACACTGAGCCCTATCATTCAAGCAGTACTGCACACACGCGAATTAGGAGCAGCCTAATTAGCAGGCCCGTTATCACACACTGTACACATTGAATCTTTGTGTGGAAATCCTACGCAATATTGAGCCGGTTTAGATGCCTCATCAGACACCGTGGCGTCGGCGAAGAGTGATGCACAGAATCATCATCACGTGATGAGGTCACCAAAGAACGCCATCATTACGTGACACATAATAAATGTTTGTGACGCCATCGGGAAATCGCAAATACTGGCGTGACGGCTGTTACGTAACGCGAACAAGATGCAGTCACAGTACCCTCCTTTCGGGGGCGAACACACACACAAAAAAATTAGGACGGTACTTGGAAGTAGCACGCGAGGTCGTATTTCCTCTTCCCTTATCATACATTGACTGAGAAAAGAAAGAAGACCACTTTCGCCTTCGGGTCGTGAGGATGGGCGAAGAACACGCCTTTATATCGATGACTCCATCCCATCAGGCGCTCAAATCGAATTCAGAGTGCACCCCAGACTACAGATCATAACACGCACGTTGACTTCCTGCAAGCACAACCATGCTTCCTGCAAGAACAACCGCGAAAGCGGGATTCTTTGCGACTCGAAATCAGCCTTTCTTAGTAAGCAGTGAGCGTTACGACGCAGGCTCAAGGAACAGATGGTATTCTGAATGACAAATGTCACCGGAACCTGGCATAGCTTTTGCCAGAAGCTATCGAGAACACACGCATTGAGACGGTTGGTTCACAATCATAAGCTCGGAACCGGCGACACAACTGCGGTTGTAGCCACGTCCTTCTCAAATACAACGCATGCTGGCAGATTCATAGGTCTAATTTCTTTCCTTCCTTTTATCATCCTCCGGCTAGCGACGGACGACTTCTTCACGGGCAACGCAGTTCATTCTCAACGAGATTTGTCGCATAAAATGTTTCTGTTGTGTCCACTACAAGGTGATCCATGGTGAGGCACATTAAGTATTTTGAGGCACGAAGTGTCTTGTTCAGCGGTGACATAAGGCGCAACTTGGCAGGTGAGTGATGAGGTACAAAACCCCCGTAACCTTCTCTGTGCGAGCGCGTTGTGGAGAAACGTAGGGAAGTTCTGACGCCACCAGGTGACGTCACAGAACACAAAAGTCTGTGACGTCAATGTGGGTCGGAGGTAGACAACACCACATGGAGTGCAGAACGTTTCGCTGGACAAGAAACAACGAAGTCGACTGAGAAAGTCGACGTGATATTCCAGCACACTGGCCCGGTGCGCCCTGCAAAAAGACGGCTCACGTGTTGTCGTATGTGAGTTACCTACAAGTGTTACCGAGAGCGTTCTACAAGAACCCGGCCGAAAGCATTCTCTCGCAGCAGCGAAACGAAACGCGAGCCGTGAGCGGCGAAGCACAGCGGCCACAGAAGAGCACGCGAACGTCGCGTGCTGAGGAGAGACAAGCGATTCGACCTTGGCTGTCGCCGCTTCCGGACGTCTTGCGCGGCCTGCGAAATTCGTCTCGTGGCCGAGCGTTGTTTGCGCTGCGCTGCTTTCTGCGAAAGGGCCGCTTCGCTTATTTATGCTGGCTGCCGAATTATTTGTGGTTTCTTCTTTTTTTTTTCGTTAGGCCACGTGCTATGTCGCTATGGACCGTCCCAGAAACTGCTCCATGCAATCGTTCGCTGGTAAATAAAATTTTGGCGTCACGACGCTTCCCGTATGACAATCATTCTGCGACTTCATAAACTCGCGGTTACACCTTGACCAATTACACATTTCGTATTCGTGGACGAGTGACGCACTTTTTCGTAGTCGTTAATACCAGCAGTGAGAAAATAATTAACAGAAAAAGCTTGCCTGCAGCTGTTACACAGATCCTTGCAAACTAGCAGAAATGAGCGATTACTACTAATAAACACTCAATTTTCGTAACAACATCAGACGTCCACAGTTGTTGTCTTCGCGAACAACGCTGTCGTGTTGCGCACAAACTCGTCTATTAAACGCCTCCCTACTGTGGCCTCCGAAATACACGCCCACGCACGTCACCAGTCCGGAATCTGAGTTGCTGTCTATGATACGCTTCAAGAGCGACAGCCTACCATGTGTGTGGAGGAACGTTTATTAGATCCTTCATGCACATATACATTCCACTGGTAATGCAACCCAGCAGTATCTTTAAAATAGTTGTCAGCCGCGTTATTACCGACGAATCATTTGTAATAGTTCCGACCCCTGAGTTCTTTCTTTTATTTATTTTCACGACATCGTTTCAACGCACCAATCAAGGGAAGCCACAGATGCGAGCACTCAACAGCACCACCAAGTGCGTGTGTTAAGCACGCGCGCCCCGTGTAAAGACGTCTGATCTAACGAATAGACAAAGGCGAATGTCAATTGCAGTAGCAATCCCAGTAGAAAATATGCATGGCATTCTTAAAAGCAAATAACCAGATGACTCCATTCGAAAGAAGAAAAAAACTTAAGATAAACCATACAATAAATACAGTCTACGAAGCAAATGGAAACAGAGAAGAGCAAAAATGAAAAAAAAAAGTTTGGACAACAGGGCAAGACGACAATAACATAACATAATAATAAAAAATGTCGCATAAAAGAATGCGAAACGTAAGCTGCAGGGCGAAAGAGAAAAGGGTTTGTGCAATGCGTGATAATAGGGTAAAACGGCACAAATATTGGAGCACAACGATGACTTTGAGCTAGAATATCACCGTGACCAAGAAAGTAAGATTTATAAAGACTTTCTGTCTCACAGACAGAAGAGTGTTGGCAGAGCCAGACGGATACTTGAAACGGTCTATGCCCTCTGGTTATCTTATGCCTAATTAGACAATTAAAACCTAAATGGTGTAGCACAGGATATGATGCCACAAAAAAAGCTTCAAAAAATATATCAACGCCGCGGACTTTATTTAGCGCTGGTGATTGCAATAATGGTTATATGGTAATGATAACAATTAAATAGTGTTAGAACAAGACTCAGATAAACTTTTAAAGAAACAATGGTTATTTATGCTTGGGTATCTTTTTACAGCGAAAGCTGTTATGAGATCAAAAGACAGGTCTCGTGCGGTGCCATAGTTGTCCACCGCCGCCGGTGGCCGTAATCGTAATCAGAAGAAATAAGAACAAATAAACTCAGTAAATAAAAACACCATGGACACAATGGGACTTGAAACCGGGTCCACTGCGTGCAAGCCCAGTTTTCTACCACTGAGCCAAAGAACTGGCCTTAGGCAACCCAGTATTCTACCACTGAGAAAAACTGTCCATAGGCAGATCTGAAACTGAAACTGATGTCAGGAGAGAAATTGCGCTAATATGAGCAGTAAATCATTTTGGATCATGAAAGGAACACCTAGGTGTCACACAATGCGAATTGTGTGACACCTGGTTGTGTGAATGATCCAACCCATAATAAAGGCTTGTTCTTGATCACCTATTAACAGTGGCACATACCCACTTAAGGCATAATTGTTCATCGTCATCAGCCACTGCAAAAAAAATATTGCAAAATATTCCTAACAAATGTGTCGCGGATCGCACGATTCTCCAAAGAATCAATGAATGTCAGCCTACTGCACAAAAATCATGATTATTTGTGGCGTAGTGGGTACCCAGCAAGTGTACTTGTAGCAGTTTCTCAAAGAGTGTT